TCATCCTTCCGGCTCTGCAATGGTCTTGTCAGACCGAAAGGGCCTAACCCAACAAAACAAACAAGCGCGGTACGTCTCGTGACGCAGGTAAGAGCCCAGGACGTGAGCCAAGATGAATCCATCGCTTTAGGGTTGTAAGGGGCAGTTGCAGCACTGTGCTCGAAAACGGAGTAAGATGGTACTGTATACCAGTCTGGTGCAGGGGCGGATCCAGGAAAACTCCAAGGGAGGGTCATGAATCGAAGTGGTGCCCCTACCTGTACCCAAAATTAAAAACTCAACGGATTTCGTCCACTTCATTTTGGTGGTGCCCCCATTTTCAGTTTTTTTCTTTTTATTTTTTATTTTTAGTCAGTATCTTAACCCGCGCCCTGGTGGGGGGGGGGGGCTATTTTTTGCCCCCCCTCCAGACTTTTCAATATATCTCCAGAACCACTGCGCCGATCGTCACCAAACTTTCAGTACCCTCCCGGACATCAATTTTACACATTGTGACCAAAATTTTTTCCAAAGGCTATGATAGGTTGGCCGGAAATGACGTCAGAGTGACGTCATGTTCTGCCGTTTTCGACCCAAAAAAGGGTTTCGCGGGAAGAGCTGTCAGGCCTATAGCTTTGCAAATACAGAAAAATGATAAAGACATAAAAGCTGTAGAATGGACAGGGCTACAAAACTGCTATCTCGGATTTTTGAAATTTTTGGATTTTGACCCCCAAAAATCAAAAAATAGATTTTTTGAATATAATAGCCAAAAAATCCAAAAAGTTTTTTGATTTTCGAAAAAAAAAACGGAATATATGTGATAGTCCTTACCGCCTTCTATCTACATACCAAATTTGAGATCGATACCTCTTTTTTTGGCCAAGTTATAGCGAAAAAACTGTTCAAAATTGATGACGTCAAATTTTCAAACTCGATTTTCAGCAATTCTAGACCTCGTAGCGCAAAACAAAGACCACCATTAGACTCCCCTTGACGAGCTGCATCGAATCAATACCCATTTTATACAAAAATATCAACTTTGAAATTTGACCTTTTTTGACCTGACCTTGACCTGACCTCCACCAGAAAGTGACCTAAACCGTACCTGATGGTCTTATAACCAACACCATTGAGTTGGAAATGAAAAACTGGCCATAAAACATGCATCGCATAACCTTAGTAAAGTTGGGTTCATGTGGTGACCCTTGGTGACCTTTGGTGACCTGACCTGTGACCTGACCTGGTATGACCAGTGACCTCTAACAGCAACATATCTACTAGGCAACTGACGCCCTATCGCTGATTCCCGACAAAATGCGTTTTCCTCGGTGTTATAGCGCATTCCCTAGAAGACCCGTGAACGGTGAAACATTTCATCTTTGACCTGACCTGTGACGTCATCGGTGACCCCGAGGTCAATAAAATTTGGTTTCCCCCGACAAATTTGACAGGCCTTTCGAACGCCGTTTGAATTTTTCGGATCCGTCCAGTAGTTTCGGAGATACGAGGGGGGGCAAAAAATAGCCCCCCCCCCACCAGGTCGCGTTATAAACAGACCCCACCAGGGCGCGGGTTAACTCTTAGCCACAACCACATTTACCAATTGTAAGCAAGTATATATGAATGTGCTATGTGCATAGATGCTATGTGTATATGTTGTGGACGCTGAGTAGTGAGTACTTACCAGGAACGTTATCAGGTAAGCAAATCGTTGTCAGTCCGACGAACTTGACCCTGGCGTCTAAAGGGTCTGTCCTTGACACTTCAGGCTTGTCAGGGGCACCAAAGTCCTTCCAGGGACACCACAAACCTTTCAGTGGCACCTACGGCCTTGTAGGGGCGCCACAGGCCCGCCAGGGGCACCACAGGCCTGCCAGGAAGTAGGGGCACCACAGGTCTAGCAAGTATACACGACAGGCCTGTCAGGGGCACAACGGACCTGTTGGGCCCATGAGCACCCCTAGGGGCAGGGGCACCACAGTCCTTCCAGGGGCACCGCAGGCCTGTGAGGGGCACCAGCGGCCTAGCAGGGGCACCAGTCAACACAGGCCTGCCAGGGGCACCACAGACCTGCAAGGGGCACCAGAGGTCTGCCAGGAGCACCATCGACCTCGCAGGGGTAACTTGGGCCTGTCAGGGGCCAGGGGCACCACGGGCCTGTCGAGAGGCACTTCAGGCTTTTCAGGGGCACCATAGTCCTCTCCGGGCGCAGGGGTAGCAGGGGCACCAGAGGCCTGCCAGGGGCACTACAGGCCTAGCAAGGGCACCACTGGTCTATCAGGGGCACCACGAGCCTGTCATAGCCAGGCATCTCAGGCTTGTCAAGGCCCAGGGGCACCACAGGTCTGTGAGGGGCACCAGCGACCTAGCAGGGGCACCAGTCAACACAGGTCTGCCAGGGGCGCCACAGACCTGCCAGGGGCACCAGAGGTCTGCCAGGGGCACCACCGGCCTCGCAGGGGCACCTTGGGCCTGTCAGGGGCACCACGGGCCTGCCGAGGGGCACTTCAGACTTTTCAGGGGCACCAGTCCTCTCCGGGCGCAGGGGTACCAGCGGCCTAGCAAGGGCACCAGAGGCCTGCCAGGGGCACCAGCGGCCTAGCAAGGGCACCAGAGGCCTGCCAGGGGCACCACAGGCCTAACAAGGGCACCACGGACCTGTCAGGGGCACCTCAGGCTTGTCAGGGCCCAGGGACACCACAGTCCTTCCAAGGGCACCGCAAGCCTGTCAGGGGCACCAGAGGCCTGCCAGGGGCACCACAGGCCTAGCAAGGGCACCACTGGCCTGTCAGGGGCACCTCAGGCTTGTCAGGGCCCAGGGGCACCACAGTCCTTCCAGGGGCATTACAAGCCTGTCAGGGGCACCAGAGGCCTAGCAAGGGCACCACAGGCCTGCCATGGACACCACAGGCCTGCCAGGGGCACCACCGCCCTTGCAGGGGCGCCTCAGGCCTGTCAGGGGCACCACGTGCCTACCGGAGACACTTCAGGCTTGTCAGGGGCGTTACAGTCCTGTCAGGGCCCAGGGGCACCAGGCCCGTGGTGTCCCTGCTAGGCCTGTGGTGCCCCTGGCGGTCCTGTGGTGCCCCTGTCAGGACTGTGATACCCCTGATAGGCCGGTGGTGCCCCTGGCAGGTCTTTGGGCCCCCGGGCCTCAAGGGGGGGCCATGACCCATGTGACCCCCCCCCTTGGATCCGCCCCTGGTCTGGTGATGCATTTTGGATGGAAAGCGGGTGGTGTTACGGTGGACGAGGCATCAGTGAGACCCTCGGCTCGCATTTCGCCAGAATAGGACTAGGTGTCGCCCTGGTTCAGGTATTGACCTACCCAGGTGTCACCACCATGCAATCGGCAGGAGCTGTGTGACGCCTCGGAAGGATTCAGATTCAGATTCAGATATGTATTCATCGAGGGTCCACAGCAAAAAGTGGCTTTTCACCTGACACGTAAAGCAGATAAAACCGATAAAACATAGGGTAAGTAGACATGGTATGGCATCATCATAGCACACACAAATCACGCACACGACATTCACACCAATACCACCTCAGTGACGTCTGGTAAGAATCGCGTTTTTTGCCTCTCGACGGAACGATGGCAAATACGGATCCAAGTTCATGTCGTTGAACATCGAGACCCCCCTGATACACAGTCGGCGCCTCCCCGTCTCGGTTCGGGGTCGTGGTTGTGTCAATCTGCCGGCGTGCCTTGTGTTGTGGTCATGTAGGTCGCGGGCTAATGGACCGATGGTTTGACTGATATATTCAGGAGTTCTCGTGGTGATAGCTCGCTGGGCTGCGCAGATGGTGTGGTACTCGGCTAACTCATCAGCTCGCAGCCAGCCGAACCGCTCGATGACATCGGAGATGTGGTCACTGCGTCTGCGACCGCTGACGACCCGCGCACAAAAGTTGATGATTTTCTGTACGCGAGTCATCTGTGTCACACCACACGTCCCGTACACACTCATGCAGTACCGCACAATGGAAAGAACCAGGGCCTGCACTACAAACCTCAGTGTGCTGGATGGCATCACGTGACGTGCGTGGGCGAGGGCGATGAGTATACCGGTGCATTTTGAAGTCATGGCGTCAATGTGTGCCTGGTAACTCAGATGACGGTCGAGTTGAATTCCTAAGTTTTTCACAGTCCCGGCATCGCCCACCACAGAGCCGCAGAAGTTAACGGTGACAGTTGGGAGGCCCCTTAACATAGCTGGGGTGCCCAAAACTAACATCTGCGTTTTGGCAGTGTTTACTTTCATTCCGTTGTGACAAAACCACTGGTAAGCGTTATCGAGGGCAGTCTCCATGAGTGAGATGATAGTAGCCAGATCCCGTTTCTTACCGGTGAACAAAATTTGCGTGTCATCTGCAATTTGAACAATGGTGACGCCATCGGGCAAATGTAGGCTCAGGTCATTGGCGAACAGCATGAATAACACACAACTAAGGCTCCCACCTTGAAAAACTCCGATTTTGTTTTCTCTGGGTCGGGACGTTATGCTGGAACCGTCAGCACCTCGTACGGTAACCTGCTGCACGTGACCCGTCAAATAGTTGTTAAACCATTCCGTGTCTATCCCGTACAGGCTAAGTTTATCTAGGAGTTTTTGGTGAGGCACGACATCAAAACATTTTGAAAGATCTAGAAGAACCAAAATGGAAATTTCGGCATTGTCCATAGCATGTAGGATGCGGTCAGTGATGACGCTGAGAGCTGTCTCGGTTGAGTGGAGTTTTCTGTACCCATGCTGTGTTGCAGTAAGTAAGCCATGCGCGTGCAAATACTCAGTCAGCTGAGTTTGTACGATACGCTCGACTACTTTCATTATTGTGGGACCGATTCCCTTCTTCCATATCATGATAAAGAGAGTACACGTTCAAGCTTTGTTACATAGAAATAGCCGTCACTTTCCCCACGTGTCGGCACCGTCCACCGACCCGGCGGGTCGGCGGACCGGTCCTTCATTGTGCAACCACCCTGCATATAACGCACAGGCACTGGCGAATCAGAATCAGAATTACAGTTGCAATACAAGTCTCGGCCCGCTCAGTCGTCTCTCCTTCCGCGCCTCCGCGACAATGGTGGCAGCGGCGGTCGAGGGGACTTGTGCCCCTCACCACGGACCCCAGCCTCTACATCTGCACTGACATCGCAGACTGGTTAGTCCGTGCTCCGTGACAGTGTATCGCCCCTACGTCGCGTCATCGACTAGGGAGCTGACCATCCTGGACTCGTCATCGTCCAGCAGCACCGTCTCCAGTGAGTAGCTCTGCCCGGCAATACCATCTGCCCTGCGGCAACGTCATCAGCTGCCCTGGACTACTACGGAGCCCGCTGACAGCGCACGGCTCATCAGCCCGCGCCGTCCTCCTCAGCATCATCGAGTGATGGACACCACCTCGCTGAAGGACTCAAGCTCGGAGGAGAGAAGATAAAACAAAAACTTCAACGCTAAATTCAAGACAAATTGGCACCGAAATCAAGAAAATTCACCCATTATGAACTTTTGCTGTATTTTCGTCAAAAAGTGACAGTGAAATTGTGCTGTGAAATTTGTTTTAACTTCGATGTGTTTCAAAAACCGTACTGTTTCATTATCCGTTTTCGTCAGTGTTCTGTCGTTTGTTGTGCTTCATTGTGGTTGCTCACCCCAAAATTTACGGAGAAATTGCAAATGCGCTTAATTTTTGCCTGCATTTTGCAGTGTCACTTTGACACTAATAAGCATAAAAAGAGCATATTCTGAAGTCGGTATGAACATTCAAATACGTTAATCGTGGTCAATTCACTGAAATTATATTGTATTGATATTCGGCCAGAGATGCCGAGGGCCATGGAGATGCCCAGGGACGGTCCCCGCCAAGAGTGCGGAGGGATCGCCCGGTAGTAGGTGTAATTGTCACGAAACTTACTTATCTGTTCATACCATTTTGTGATACGCTCATATGGAAATTTCTTTCTCCGTCAGCTAAACGTTTCCTCTCTTTGTTATGATCGCTTCGGTTCCCTACGCTTCCCTGGGGGAGGGAAGATAATGTGGGACCGATTCCCTTCTTCCATATCATGATAAAGAGAGTACACGTTCAAGCTTTGTTACATAGAAATAGCCGTCACTTTCCCCACGTGTCGGCACCGTCCACCGACCCGGCGGGTCGGCGGACCGGTCCTTCATTGTGCAACCACCCTGCATATAACGCACAGGCACTGGCGAATCGAGTGCTCGAGACCGGCTTTGGGGACGCATCGGCACACCGAACCTCCAGTAAGTCGGCGATTCCACCGGCCGACACAATGGTGGCAGCGGCGGTCGAGGGGACTTGTGCCCCTCACCACGGACCCCAGCCTCTACATCTGCACTGACATCGCAGACTGGTTAGTCCGTGCTCCGTGACGGTGTATCGCCCCTACGTCACGTCATCGACTAGGGAGCTGACCATCCTGGACTCGTCAGACGTCATCGTCCAGCAGCACCGTCTCCAGTGAGTAGCTCTGCCCAGCAAGACTATCTGCCCTGCGGCAAGGTCATCAGCTACCCTGGACTATTACGGAGCCCGCCGACAGCGCACGGCTCATCAGCCCGCGCCGTCCTCCTCAGCATCATCGAGTGATGGACACCACCTTGCTGAAGGACTCAAGCTCGGAGGAGAGAAAATAAAACAAAAACTTCAACGCTAAATTCAAGACAAATTGGCACCGAAATCAAGCAAATTCACCCATTATGAACTTTTGCTGTATTTTCGTCAAAAAAGTGACAGTGAAATTGTGCTGTGAAATTTATTTTAACTTCGATGTGTTTCAAAAACCGTACTGTTTCATTATCCGTTTTCGTCAGTGTTCTGTCGTTTGTTGCACTTCATTGTGGTTGCTCACCCCAAAATTTACGGAGAAGTTGCAAGTGCATTTAAATTTTGCCTGCACTTTGCCGTGTCATTTTGACACTAGTAAACGTAAAAAGAGCCTGTTCTCAAAGGTATGAACATTCAAATACGTTAATCGTCGTCAATTCACTGAATTTATATTGTGTTGATATTCGGCCAGAGATGCCGAGGGCCATGGAGATGCCCAGGGACGGTCCCCGCCAAGAGTGCGGAGGGATCGCCCGGTAGTAGGTGTAATTGTCACGAAACTTACTTATCTGTTCATACCATTTTGTGATACGCTCATATGGAAATTTCTTTCTCCGTCAGCTAAACGTTTCCTCTCTTTGTTATGATCGCTTCGGTTCCCTACGCTTCCCTGGGGGAGGGAAGATAATGTGGGACCGATTCCCTTCTTCCATATCATGATAAAGAGAGTACACGTTCAAGCTTTGTTACATAGAAATAGCCGTCACTTTCCCCACGTGTCGGCACCGTCCACCGACCCGGCGGGTCGGCGGACCGGTCCTTCATTGTGCAACCACCCTGCATATAACGCACAGGCACTGGCGAATCAGAATCAGAACCACAGTTGGAATACAAGTCTCGGCCCGCTCAGTCGTCTCACCTTCCGCGCCTCCGCGACAATGGTGGCGGGCCGAGACTTGTATTCCAACTGTGGTTCTGATTCTGATTCGCCAGTGCCTGTGCGTTATATGCAGGGTGGTTGCACAATGAAGGACCGGTCCGCCGACCCGCCGGGTCGGTGGACGGTGCCGACACGTGGGGAAAGTGACGGCTATTTCTATGTAACAAAGCTTGAACGTGTACTCTCTTTATCATGATATGGAAAAAGGGAATCGGTCCCACATTATCTTCCCTCCCCCAGGGAAGCGTAGGGAACCGAAGCGATCATAACAAAGAGAGGAAACGTTTAGCTGACGGAGAAAGAAATTTCCATATGAGCGTATCACAAAATGGTATGAACAGATAAGTAAGTTTCGTGACAATTACACCTACTACCGGGCGATCCCTCCGCACTCTTGGCGGGGACCGTCCCTGGGCATCTCCATGGCCCTCGGCATCTCTGGCCGAATATCAATACAATATAATTTCAGTGAATTGACCACGATTAACGTATTTGAATGTTCATACCGACTTCAGAATATGCTCTTTTTATGCTTATAAGTGTCAAAGTGACACTGCAAAATGCAGGCAAAAATTAAGCGCATTTGCAATTTCTCCGTAAATTTTGGGGTGAGCAACCACAATGAAGCACAACAAACGACAGAACACTGACGAAAACGGATAATGAAACAGTACGGTTTTTGAAACACATCGAAGTTAAAACAAATTTCACAGCACAATTTCACTGTCACTTTTTGACGAAAATACAGCAAAAGTTCATAATGGGTGAATTTTCTTGATTTCGGTGCCAATTTCTCTTGAATTTAGCGTTGAAGTTTTTGTTTTATCTTCTCTCCTCCGAGCTTGAGTCTTTCAGCGAGGTGGTGTCCATCACTCGATGATGCTGAGGAGGACGGCGCGGGCTGATGAGCCGTGCGCTGTCGGCGGGCTCCGTAGCGAGTCCAGGGCAGCTGATGACGTTACCGCAGGGCAGATGGTATTGCCGGGCAGAGCTACTCACTGGAGACGGTGATGTCGGACGATGACGAGTCCAGGATGGTCAGCTCCCTAGTCGATGACGTGACGTAGGGGCGATACACTGTCACGGAGCACGGACTAACCAGTCTGCGATGTCAGTGCAGATGTAGAGGCTGGGGTCCGTGGTGAGGGGCACAAGTCCCCTCGACCGCCGCTGCCACCATTGTCGCGGAGGCGCGGATGGAGAGAAGACTGAGCGGGCCGAGACTTGTATTCCAACTGTGGTTCTGATTCTGATTCGCCAGTGCCTGTGCGTTATATGCAGGGTGGTTGCACAATGAAGGACCGGTCCGCCGACCCGCCGGGTCGGTGGACGGTGCCGACACGTGGGGAAAGTGACGGCTATTTCTATGTAACAAAGCTTGAACGTGTACTCTCTTTATCATGATATGGAAAAAGGGAATCGGTCCCACATTATGCCTGGTAAAATGCCTGGATGCCCCGTCACCGTGCAGGAGGCGGCGGAAGCTCGGCCCCCGACCGCTCTGAAGGACGCCGTGCTCCTGACCCGTGGCCGGCTGGTGAGGAGGGGACACGACAGCCAATTTTGCCATGGTTGGGTGGGGATCGACAGCGACACCCAATTATGTCCATCACCAGGACAACATCAATTTAGAAAAACGCAAAAAGAGAGCTTTCCTCAACTGAGAGTTTGAATATTTTCAAAGCAGTTTTGTCATTTGGCTCGGGTCAATATTGATATTGATGACGATCATTCGTGAAATTTTGCGATTTCCTGAAGGAAGGAAGCCAATATCTTACCGATTCTTTTTTGCTTATAACTTATAACAGCAAAGAAGTACAGCCGCAAAAATGGTCTCACTTTTATCAGCTCGCCAAGACGCATCGAAGTACATGCATCGTCACGTGACCTAAGGTCGACTTAACGCTGACCGTTCGAGGTCAACACATGCATATAAACATTAGCGCCATATATGGTATCTCGATGCGGACTGACGAGTGGATCTCGATGACACTTTAAGTTTTTTTTTTCTGGTTTGATTTGCTCAAAACTTAAGCGCAAAAAAACATTGAACTCTTGCGCCACTTTTTACTATTTTGACCGGGCTGTGACGTCTGTGACGTCATTTTGACCTGAGCTTAAAATTACTTTAGCAAAATTTCAGACCCTGTCTGTCTGTATCCCATGCCGTTTATCTGTCGTCTCTAACTTGCATCATCTTCGAGATCTTGGCGGGGGATCCACCCCCCCCCCCTCCCGTAGGTGCCAAGCTGGCGCAGGTGCGTGAGCTAAGCTATTCATTTTGCAGCATGATGATTTTTTTATAAAATTGAATGCTTCCTCCTGTACATTTCTAAAGCCCATCATTTTCATGCGACCGTTTTTCCGAAATAATTTTGTTTGTATTTGTTTTGATCACAGCATGGACACTTCACTGAAAACTCCATGGCTACCTTTTAAGTTTTGTTACCAGGTAGGTAAATGTGAAAGATTATCAATGTCACCAAAATGCAGATTTTCTTAAAAACAAAACAGAACAAAACAAAACAAAACAAAACAAAACAAAACAAAACAAAACAAAACAAAACAAAACAAAACAAAACAAAACAAAACAAAACAAAACAAAACAAAAAGCAAAACTAAACTAAACTCGATCAATAGATCAATGACCATTAACCAGGGCTCTTTTAGTCGGCTACGCTTGCTCGCAAATCGAGGCTGCACCTATCGGTACCTTTTCCTGTCTCCTGTTCAGTTCTATTTTATGCAGCCGGTTTCACGTCTTTCTTTGGACCCGCACTCGTTGTAGTAGCGGCCCCGCCCGGAACTCGGGCGGGCGCCTGCACCGGCCGGTTCCGGACCTTCCTGAGAATGTCAGCTGTTCGTAGCGGCCGCGTGTGGCGTGTGTCGCCAGTCTGCCTTCATATACGTCTGTCTGTCTATCAGGCATACAGACGCTGTCCGTATGTCTGTCTGTCTGCCTGAGACACGAGGTCGCTAAGGGGCATACGAGGGCCGGCAGGAGTCGGCTGCGTTAGCACGAGCTGTGTCATATGGGCACTCGTGACCGGTTTGAAGCTGTCAGGCAATGGAGAGCAACGTCATCGTCATCTAATGACGTCATCGGTTTCGATGTCGGCAGCCAGGGCGGAATTTGTGTGTGAGTGTTTAGCGCTACAAAGTGTGTGTGGTTTTTACGTGTAGTAAAGCACAGCAATTCACTAGTAAGATAATTTACGAACACTTCTTATCTTCGCTAGATTAGGTAAACGGTATAAAGTGAACATCAACGCGTCCTTACTAAACATATCGTTGGAAGGAAAAGTAACGATTGTCAAAGCATTGCTTGTGTCAAAGATAAGCTATATATTCCTGACAATGCCAAATCCCTCACAGGCTATTATTAATGAGCTGACGACCATGTTGTTCAGGTTTATCTGGCACGGAAAAGGCGAGAAAATAAAGCGCAAAACGCTGCTCAAAGACCCGCTTCGAGGTGGGGTAGGTATGATAGATATAGATACATATATGAAAGCCTTGAAGATAACATGGATTAGAAGGTATATTACTAAAAGTGGAATATGGAATACCATGGCAAGGAGAATAACGGGAGATAATTTTGATTTCTGGCTGATGGGTTACCGCGCTCTGAGAGCCAAGGCTACTAATATTGGCAACCGTTTTTGGAGAGACGTTTTCTTAGCCCTAGCTGATTTCAAGGAGATTTAATAACTAGATACGGCCCAAATTAGCGCCAGTCAACTGTTTTTCTCAGACCTAACCAATTTTAAAAACACTTGGGTTAAACAATGGTACGATAAGGGAATCAGGACCTTCAACGATCTGTTGAAACAAGATGGATCAATTCTCGGTTATGATGAATTAAAGAAACATATAATATACAAGGGACATGTTTAAACTATACGGCATTAATGAGAAGTTTGCCAGCGGAGTGGAAAGCGGATCGGAACAGGAGCAAATTAGAAACACCCATTCTAGACCCCGTCGTTTCGTGCATCATAGCAAAAGGCGAAGGAACGTCTCACATCAGAAGAATATTCGTTGAAAGCAAAACAAAATCAGTTCCTAATATATGGGAAGGGGCATGGGGATATAGGTTAGGTGAAATCAATTGGACAGATGTATACCAGTCATTGAAGACATATCCAGTACAATACAGGTCAACTAGATATAAAATTATTACACGAATAGCGGCAACAAATAGCCTTCTCGAAAAAATGAATATTGCCGACACAAATGCTTGTGAGTACTGCATTGACCGCGAAAACATCGAACATAAGTATTGGTACTGCCCACAAGTACTGAGGTTTTGGAATTATAGTTTAAAAGCATTGCTATTTCGTAATCAACTTGGTAGGCTAGCAGAAAAGGTAAACGTCAAGTTAGTTATCTTGGGAGGAGATAATAATGTAGTCATGAATCATGTTACAAGTGTCGGGATACAGATGATCCATTTAAGAAAAGAACTTTCTTTAACATTATTAACAGCTATCCTTAAGTGTGACATGGAAAGTGAAAGGTATCAGGCAAATCTTAATGGACAAATAAATAATTTTAACAAAAAGTGGAGCACATTGGATTTCTTGAGGCGGCTTGGCTGATCGACGTATCTGGGAGTTGTGTAGGTGGTTGTGGGACGGCGTGTGCTGAATGTGCTGGGACGTGACCTTTTTTCGTTACTCGGTGGTGTTCTGTAAGAGACAGGAGGATACCGGCATGTACTGCCCCCGCCCCCAACCCATCCAGGCTAACCTGTGGCCGGCCCTAGCATGTTGTGCGGGGCCGGCCCGCCGGCCGCTCGGCCGGGGCGCCGGAAGGGCGGTCTGCGCCCCGGCGCCCCGCTCCACAGTGGGCGATCCGGCCGGTGTAGCCTCGCGAAACCTATCGGCATTCATAACATCCATGTTTTTGAAGCTAGAACCACAATATTTAGGAGCAACCTTCTTGAATATCCAATGAGCATATGTTT